TGATGTTCAAAGTATGTAATTCAAATAGAAAAACTCACAACGGGGCGCAAAACTTGTAAGGTAAATGATTACAACATTGGTGCTGATAAATGCACTAAAAAACTGATTAAAAAATGTGTAGATAAAAAGCACACACTTACATTTGGATGGAGGAGGACCGGGGGAGAGGCGGCCTTACAGGAGGATCGAGTGGGTCGGTGTACTTGATTGGAGGCTGAAGGACTCTCAGGAGATGCCTGCCGCGGTTGTAGAGTGGAGAGCTAATGACCGGGGGGAGAGGCGAGGCAGTACAGAGACTGTGTCCGTGTCACTCCTGTGTGGACCGGAGTAGAAGCGATGTATAGGCAGAATACTGGGTCTACCTCAATGGTGCTACAGCTGTACAAACACCTGTCTCTGCAGCTGACAAGACGTTGTTTAGAACAGAGTGCGGTCCTGTCCCTAGAAGTCTGGTGGTAGCGGCACGTATAGCGTCTAACAGTGAATGGGGGAGACCTGGTAAAAAGGCTGTAGAGGACAGCCTACTAGATGAGTCGGGAGTGAAGAGAAGACTCGGGGAGGGTTGCGTTGGGAGTGAAACGCGTCGCTCCCCGGTGATCACCGAGTCTTCTCTTCACTTCCGACTCGTCTAGCAGGCTGTCCTCTACAGCCTTTTTACTGCCCACCCCTCTGTATTTGCCCACCGCTCTGCCTGTTACTGCTTTGTGATGTCCCTACGGTACATGATCTACAATCTGTTCCCTCTGTCCTTCAATGAACGGCAGAGAAAATAAGATTTTTGTACTCACTGTAAAATCCTTTTCTCTCCGTTCATTAAAGGACACAGGTCCCGCCCTCTCTGTTGGGTGTGTACTCTAACTACTTGTTACTTACTTGAGACTTGTCAGCAGGTGGGGGGTTTGGCCACCAGCTGGGGCCACCTCTAGGCTGGTTTAGTCTTTTGTTTTGTGCCTAGCTTCCTTCTCCTGCAGGGGGCGATATACCCTACGGTACATGATCTACGATCTGTTCCCTGTGTCCTTCAATGAACGGAGAGAAAAGGGTTTTACATTGAGTGGAATGCATGGCATTGCAGTGCAGGCGATCACACTGCGGGCGGGAGGCGCATTTGGGGTGCCACTTAAATGAATCGCACACCCTGCAGCTGTAACACTCGCCCCGGGGGTGTGGCTTTATGGACCGCAGCTGCGGATGAGGCTTCTATCAAGGAGGACGGGTATCAGGTTGCAACTCTACCTCTGGAGCCCAGTATGTGAAATAAGGCGAGGAGGGAGCTGCTTCACATCACGCCCTGTATAGCAACAACAGGTTAGGTATGGAGGATTCAGCAAGTAATGTGAACAGTATGCAGTTCCAAAGGTTATTTATTTGAGTTGTATAGCCCACTTAGGATCAATGGCAGTTCAATAGGTTATATAGCCAACAGCTATGGCGGGAGTACTTGTGGTGTTGTGGCGCACCCCCGTGTGGGGGAAGGTAGGCTTAGCTCGGTTCCTCGAATAAGCTGGTTCCTGGAGTGGAGCAAGTGGAGGCTGGTTTGGTCAGCGTCCTGCTTACAACGCTAGTGGGACGCCGATCGGACCGCGGCTTTATGCCGACGGCTCGCGTGAGTGGGCGGAGTCTCGCAGCGCACCTGCGCAGTAGCGGCGACTGACCCTGTCCGAGAGTGGGCGCGCCGTAGCGCGGACGGATCTTGTTCCTGGCCGTGTCTTAATTTTTTTTTTTTTTACTTTATTGCTACCACATGTGGGGGGGCTCACAAGCCTTCTATGTGATGGCACATAGGAAATGACAGGTTCTCCTTAAGGTGACATCAGGGGTCTAATAGAGGCAGCTGAATGTAAACATTGCAGGCAGTTGCTTGGAGCAATAGCCAGCCCGATATTGGCTACTTGGCTACTGCAATTTAAAATAGCCAATAGCGGGCTGGCTATTGCTCCCAGCCACTGGAAGCTGAGGCATCAGAGGGGCAGCAGCGGAGAGGCATGATGGCAGATCGCAGCATGCAGGGGCTCCAAGTGGGGTGAGAATGGATAAGCAGAGCAGCGGCGGGGGGCAGGAAAGTGAGTTTTGGAGCTCTCCTCACCGCTGAGTACTGGCTGCAGGGGTCTGTGTCCCCTCCTTTTCCCGCTGGGAACAGTGGAGATCAGAGGGGACACAGAGCCAATGAAACAACTAATCGAACAATCTACTAATTGATAATGAGAATCATTGAGGATTCTCATTACGTTTATCGCCGATTAAATCGACTAGTTGTTGCAGTCCTAGATTTTTTTATGATTCATTACTATGCTGATACCACTGCTTGTGGAAGAGAGTTCCACAATTTTACCACTCTAACACAAAAGAAGCCCCTACGTCCCTTGTGGTTAAATCTGTTTTTCCTCCAATTTTAGGTGGTGGCCTCTAGTCTTCTTTAGGAAGTTTATAGTAAACAGTTTATTACTGATATTACCATTAACATTAAAGATTTTGTACATCAAAATCATGTGCCCTCTTAATTGCCTCACGTCTAGAGTGAACAAGTTTAAATTTAGCAACCTTGTCTCATAGCTTTGGTCCTTCTGCCCCTTAATTAGTTTCATTGCCCTTCTCTGGACCCTCTCCAGCTCAAGGACATCCTTTCTGTGGACTGGTGACTTAGTTTTTAGTGTGGTTAATTCTTGAGGTATAGAAAGTTATCTTGTTTGAGGAAGGTCTGTGCTGGATTTTTTTGCTTAGGACCACCATTTTCCTAAAAAGGTGCCTGGAAGGAATTCTGAATTATCTTTTA